ATCTCCCGTCTGGATTACTGCAACTCGCTGTTGGCTGGGCTCCCTGCCTGTGCCATTAAACCCCTACAACTCATCCAGAACGCTGCAGCCCATCTGGTGTTCAACCTTCCCAATTTCTCTCACGTCACCCCGCTCCTCCGCACACTCCACTGGCTTCCAGTTGAAGCTCGCATCTGCTACAAGACCATGGTGCTTGCCTACGGAGCTGTGAGGGGAACGGCACCTCCGTACCTTCAGGCTCTGATCAGTCCCTACACCCAAACGAGGGCATTGCGTTCTTCCACCTTTGGCCTGCTGGTCCCCCTACCTCTGCGGAAGCACAGTTCCCGCTCAGCCCAGTCAAAACTGTTCGCTGCTTTGCCAGCATCAGGCCGGAACCCTTGGAGCGGGAGAAGATGTCCGTCCTCGTTTCCTGCCTCTCTGGGAAAGCCCTGGAGTGGGCCAACGCGGTGTGGAACGAAGGAGGAGCCGCGTTGGAGGACTACAGGGAGTTCGCTCGCCGTCTTTGATCACCTGCCCGAGGGTAGAGAGGCGGGTGAGCGACTGGTCCATCTGAGGCAGGGGACGAGGACCGCGCAGGACTTCGCGTTGGAGTTTCGGACGCTGGCAGCGGGGTCCGGGTGGAATGAGCGGGCCCTGATCGACCATTTCCGGTGCCATCTGCGGGAGGACGTCCGACGGGAGCTAGCCTGCCGAGACACCATGTTGTCCTTCAACAAACTGGTGGACATGGCCATTCATTTGGACAACCTGCTGGCAGCCAGAGGACGTCCTAGTAGGGGTCTGCCCGTTTTCACCCCGGACGAATCGGATCCCGAGCCGATGGAGCTGGGTGGAGCCGCCGGCCGAGAGAGCGGAGGAGGACAGCGACAGTGCCACTCTGGTGGCACGAAGGGACAATACACCACACGTCGTAGTCAATGTTCTTTTGGGCCGGGAGGCGGCAGGCAGGGCACTCACGCATCACCCCAGGTATCGAACACCCACACTTTTTCAGAGCCCTCTGCTGCGCACTGTACCCTACCTATCCACTTTCCCGATCTCATGGTAGTTCCCTAGTGTAAGGCGCTAGTTGATTCAGGCGCAGTTGGGAACTTTATGGGCATTCGCACACCGTCAAGGCATAACATTGGTTCCCCTGTCCATTCCACTACCAGTCACCATGATCACCCAGGAGACTCATTTTGAGCAGGTAATTTTTTCGATTATTGAATCTTCTGCTTTCCCTGTGGTATTAGGTATCCCTTGGCAAGCACTTCACAACCCCACCTTCTCATGGCCGCAGAGGGCTCTTTTGGGGTAGTCGCGAGAGTGTCAGGGTAGGTGTCTAGGTGACATGACTGGCTGCATCATCGATTGGTATGGCAACTGCTTGGCATCGGACCGCAAGGCGCTACACAGGGTAGTGCGTACAGCCCAGTACATCACTGGGGCCGAACTCCCTGCCATTAAGGACCTCTATACCAGATGGTGTCAGAGGAAGGCCCTAAAAATTGTCAAAAAGTCCAGCTACCGCACGGAAAGTGGTACCGAGGCACCCTGAACAGTAGCCATAAGACTACTAAAACAAAAATATAAATGCAACATGCAACAATTTTAAAGACTGAGTTACAGTTCATAAAAGGAAATCTGTCAATTTAAGTAAATTCATTATGTCCTAATCTATGGATTTCACATGACTGGGAATACAGACATGCATCTGTTGGTCACAGATACCTTAAAAAAAAGGTAGGGGCGTGGATCAGAAAACCAGTCAGTATCTGGTGTGACCACCATTTGCCTCATGCAGTGCGACACATCTCCTTCGCATAGAGTTGAACAGGCTGTTGATTGTAGCCTGTGGAATGTTTGTCCCACTCCTCTTCAATGGCTGTGCGAAGTTGCTGGATATTGGCAGAAACTGGAGCACGCTGTCGTACACGTCGATCCAGAGCATCCCAAACATGCTCAATGGGTGACATTTCTGGTGAGTATGCAGACCATGGAAGAACTGGGACATTTTCAGCTTCCTGGAATTGTGTACAGATCCTTGCGACATGGGGCCATGCATTGCCATGCTGAAACATGAGGTGATGGCGAGGGATGAATGGCACGACAATGGGCCTCAGGATCTCTTCACGGTATCGCTGTGCATTCAAATTGCCATCGATAAAGTGCAATTGTGTTCGTTGTCCGTAGCTTATGCCTGCGCCATACCATAACCCCACCACCACCATGGGGCACTTTGTTCACAACATTGACATCAGCAAACCGCTCGCCCATACGACGCCATACACGTGGTCTGCAGTTGTGAGGCCGGTTGGATGTACTGCCAAATTCTCTAAAACGACGTTGGAGGCGGCTTACGGTAGAGAAATTAACATTACATTCTCTGGCAACAGCTCTGGTGGGCATTCCTACAGTCAGCATGACAATTGCAGGCTCCCTCAAAACTTGAGACATCTGTGGCATTGTGTTGTGTGACAAAAACTGCACATTTTAGAGTGGCCTTTTATTGTCCCCAGCACAAGGTGCTCATGCTGTTTAATCAGCTTCTTGATATACCACACCTGTCAAGTGGATGGATTATCTTGGCAAAGGAGAAATGCTCACCATCAGGGATATAAACACATTTGAGAGAAATAAGCTTTTTGTGTGTATGGAACATTTCTGGGATATTTTATTTCAGCTCATGAAACATGGGACCAACACTTTACATGTTGCGTTTATATTTTTGTTCTCTGTAATTAACCAAATAGCTACCTGGACTAGCTGCATTGACCCCCTTTGCAATAACTATTTTGACTCAACACGTGCTGCTGCCACTGTTTGTTATCTATCCTGTTGCCTAGTCACTTTATCCCTACCTATATGTACATATCTGCCTAAATTACCTCTTACCCCTGCACATCGACTCTGTACTGGCGCCCAGTGTATATAGCCAAGTTTTCATTAATCATTGTGTATTTATTCCTTGTGTTATAATTTTTTCTATATTTTTCTATCTGCACTGTTGGGAAGGGCCCGTAAGTAAGCATTTCACTGTTAGTCTACACCTGTTGTTTACGAAGCATGTGACAAATCACATTTTATTTTGTTTGACCTGAGGAGAGAATTCCCATCGTATCAACTATTTCACAGTGGGTGCCTCCCAAATGGCACCCTATTCCGTTTATGTTGCACTACTTTTAACCACTACTGTAGTCAAAAGTTGTGCATTATAAATAGGGAATAGGGTGCCATTTGGGAGGCAGCCAGAGCCTACTCTCAGAACACTACCCCTGTGAAGTAATTTAGACTGAGCAGCTGAGCATTGCACATCGGTTGTGTTTGATTTTCCAGTGGTACTTTGATTAGCCCTTGGAGGATTCCTGCAAACTGCAATAAGGAAGGAACATTAAATTACAAAAATTACCCTCTTTCATGAGTCACAAGACAAGTAGAGGTGGTGTGTATTGTCTCAGCTGCAGTGTAGCATGATGTGTGAGACACCCCACTGTGCTCTGGGGCCAGATCCCAGTTAGAGGCTTGGCTCCATGAACAGGACCCGCTCTTCTCGGCAAACTCGTTCCAACTCAACTACCCCCATCTTGGTAAAACAGTGCCCTCTAGCGCCTATCAACTGTAGAGAACATGTTGGGTCGAAGCAGTGAATGACACAGACTTATCCGCTCATCTGGTCAATAATAAGTAGTTTTGGAATCTTGGGTGAACCTGAACTTCCCTGCATCCTCTGTGTGGCATGGCTGTTTGTTTTGGGTCACTGTGGCCAGGGATAGCCTTTGGCCCCACGTTTGAAAAGTGAACAACAGCCCCACTCACTTAGAGGGAAACTAGTGTGGGTACTCTCTCAGGTCTGAGAAAAGAGAGAGAGAGAGAGAGAGAGAGGAAGTAGAGATAGAGAGCGATAGCGATAGAGGAGAGAGATAGAGAGAGAGTGGAGATTAGATATGAGAGATAAGAGGAAGATAGAGATCATCTCTCTTCTGCTCTACTTCGCGTCTTCTCATCTCTCTCTCTCGCTCTTCTCATCCTTCTCTCTCTCTCTATATCTCTCTCGCGCTCTCTCTCTCTCGCTCTCTCTTCTCTCTCTCTCTCCTCTCTCTCCTCTCTCTCTCTTCTTCTCTCTCTCTTCTCGTCTCTTCTCTCTCTCTCTCTCTCTCTCTCTCTTCTCTCCTCTCTCCTCTCTCTCTCTCTCTCTCTCTCTCTCTCTCTCTCTCTCGCTCTCTCTCTCCTCTCTCTCTCTCTCTCTCTCTCATCTCCTCCTCCTCCTCTCGCTCTCTCTCTCATATAAAGAATGATATGCTATATCTTGCCTTCATTTCATCCGCATTGGTACATATCACACAGCAGCAGATTGGTCATCCTGCAAGCAGAGAGCACAGGAGCAAAAATTTACTCATCTACTTTCTGAGTTTAGTTTATTCTCATCTCTAAAACAAGCTGTTATGTACATGTGTATGCTGCTGTTACACTCATCATTGCATAAAAAAATGGAATATACAGTAAATAGCAAAAATGGACTTCAAATAACTAAATATTTTGCGATTTTTTGATTACTGAACCATCAGGATGCTCATTAATTCAATCTGGAACATATTGTTCAGTTCTCTTATAAAACACTTGGCCAGCACAAGAGGATGGAATGGGATGTACCTCGGCTGACACAACAGGACTTAGACAAGCGTGAGAGAGGGAATCCAAGTACTGTATACTGATGGCATCCTCAGGGCAGAACTATACTCTGCTGAAAGCTCCCAGTGCCAAAGACATGGGCTTTCATCCTCTTTCTATAGAGAGAAAGACTAAGTGAATAGGGCCTCTGGAGAAAAAGGAGGTGCATTTTCCCTTAGACTTCAACACGAAGGGTTCTTGTTTGTAATGAACAGGGGTGTTGGAGTGTCTAGTGTGTTGAGAGGGGTATGTTCTGCGGTGGTGCCGTTGTGGTGCTGTATTTTTGGCAGTAAAACTTCAAATAAAGGGGGTTCATTGAGTCAGCTTTGTTTAATTTTGTAGGACTAATGATCGGTGGGATTGATGAAGTCTTCACACTGGATGACCTTCATCTCTCCCGCTTCTTGACCAGAAAGAAAGATCCGCCCAGGGCACGCAGTAAGATTGCTGCCACGTATCTGGGCCAAAAACAGAGAGAGAGAGAGAGAGAGAGAGACGGGGGCAAACAAACAAAACAGCTTTAGAAAACATGGACCCTCTCCACGTGAATCAATATTCTAGCCTTGTCCTAACTGTTGAGCAATGAGGCCAACTCAGAAAAAGAGAGAGGGAAAGAAAGTGGGTAAGAGAGAGGGAGGGGTGAGGGGTGTCATCGTTTGGGCAAAAGCTGTGTTAAATAGTGAAGTAACCTGGCTCTGAGTATCACACACCAGGCATTTGGACGGACATTTGAGGTAAGTGTTGAACAACTGTTTATTAAGATGCATATTAAAATATTAATTGTTTATTTTTAATGTAAGCTGTGGGTGAGTAAACTATTGAAATGACATTATAGTTAGATAACAGAGAACATCGAGGGTGGTAAAAATGTCATTTTCTACTTCATAGCTGTCTGATAAATGATTGGAAAATGATCAGTCAATACTACAACTTTGGACTATAAAATACTTTGTTCTTCTCCACATCAAAACTCACATCCGTCTGATGAAGACAGACAACCAATTATATTCAAAAATAATATGAGACATTTATGAAAAGTCAAAGAAAAGTGAAGAGGCATACTAACTGCTTTACAAACTTCTTAGGGCCGGGACCCCTTTTGTGATTGCAAATTCATCAGGGACCCACTCATAATCAGAATACAACTCGAGTGAGACAAATAAATTATAGCAAACAATAAGTTTTACTACGACTTCGGCAGTGTATGGTCAGACGAACCAAGTCATGGCCTTGGGATGGAACATTTAAAAGACCTGCTTCTTGGCGTTGGATAATGTTTTGGGGAGTTTTCAAGCAATTCCTGCAATTCTACACATTTTGTCATGGGGCAGAGATATTTTGTTATTGCAGCTATAAAGCTAATATGCAATTCTACAAATATGTCATGCAATGAGGCAAAGAGAAAATTGAGCAGTTTTAAACCTTAAATTACATTTATGTAAAATAAAATATTGGGGTGAATACATGAAGTATTGAGATGAAAAATGTATAATTGGTTGAGTATTGTGGATACCAATATCTCTGTAAACCTCCCAGGCCCATGTTGCCCAGGGTTAAGAACATAAATTGTAGATTAATAATATGACCTTGTTTTCTATTGTATTGCACCCTCTAAACCTATTCCACGGATCCCTTGGCCAAAATTAATTTAATCTGTTGTTGTTATTAATATTCTTTGTGTACCCCACTTTGAGAACCCCTGACATAGACAACATGATATTCAGGAAAGCACATTGCTGTATTTGTTTTGAAGGACATAATGCAGCAGCAAAGAGGGCTTAGCTAGAGAGCTAGAGTTGGCAAAAAGCCAGTTGGAGTGTTTGCCCCTTCGCATGTTGTGATTAATTCCTTCAATGACAGACCAAGCCAAAGCGAATCGTTTAACAACCACATTGGTTTTGACAAATAACAAATGTTGAGTAAAAGTTTACGCAAATGTGCTATTTAAAAAAACATTGATTTTGACTAACTGTGTTCCTCAATGTCTTCCCCAGATTCCTGTGTGCGGCTGTATTGGAGTAGAACTCTCACAGGTAAAATGATGCATCCTAAGATGAAGTGGCTGTTTCTGATCCAACTACTGCTGATTGAACAGGCTCTGTGCAGGACACCAACTCCCCCTGCTCTGAAGAACACTCTCTTAGGGGAGGGGGACACTATCAAAAAGGGGCAGCAGTTGCTCATTGGGTCCCAGACCCAGCTTAGTCTTCCATCAGGTGCAGCGGAGAGTGCGGCCCCTGAAGAGTGGGTGGTGCAGGATGAGGCCAGGGCCCAGTCTGCCCAGCGTGTCGTCACCACACTGAAGGCTAAGCTGCAGGGCCGAATCCTCATCCAGGCCAACACCAGCTGTGAAGAGCTGCTGTCTGCCTCCACCCTGCAGGACCTCTCCTCCACCCTGTTCCCCCGGGAGCTCCTGGGCCTCTCCCTGGTGCCGGTGCTGGTGGTGGCAGGCTGTCCCCGGGAGGCCCAGACCCTGGTGCTCAGGCTGTACAACCTGCTGGGGGTGGAGGACACTGAGGAGCTCCTCATAGAGGTGGAGAGTCTGATGGCGAGGGGAGCACCCCACCCCAGAGCCACAACACCCCATGCCTCACATGTAGGGAAGATCCAAGCAGAGCGCCACCTCCGGGCAGTGATGTTCAACATCCAGCAGCTGGCCAGGGCAGGGGAGGGCCGTAGGGGGCATGGGGCCTCTAGAAAGGGGAAGCAAGAGGAGCAGTGTCAGGGCTGGACCAGGGTGAATGGGACCCTGCTGTTGGGGAATGTGATGGAGGGAGCCACAGGGGGGCTGGAGGAGGCGGTAAGGGCCTGTGAGAGCCTGGGGTCCCAGTGTGCGGGTGTGTCCCATAACAGAGGGCAGTACCAGGCAGTTCTGAAGCCAGGCAGCCGGGTGGTGCCCACTGAGGACTCTGACTCAGAATGCTGGATTCGACAGTGCCAGGTGCAGGAGGAGAAGTCACCTGTGGCCTCAGGGCGGCGGGCACGGCGCAGCCCCCAGCGGAACTGCGTCAACAAGAAGGAGGAGCGCGTGTACAACGTGGTGGAGTGGATCCCTGTTGTCAGCACCCTTTACAACCTGGGCACAGCCGTCTACTACACCTCTGTCAACTGCTCCGAGATGGCCAAGGAGAGAGCCATCCTCAGTGCCGTCGACCTGGGCACAGATGCCCTCATGGCCGTCACTGGGGGAACGGTGGGCGTGGCGGGCTACGTTGCCGGGGCAGGGGTGAAGACGGGGGTGAAGGCTGGGATCAAGTACCTGCTGTCCTCCATGAAGCAACAGGAGGACCTGATAGTTAATGAGTACAGTTGGGAGGAGGGAGTCATTACCATACAGTAAACAGCCAGTAGCCTGGTAGGTAGCCAGATATGATTTTGCTTCAGCCAATGGCAGCATAAAGAGATGTTGCGACCAGGAAGTGGTCTCAGGGAACTCCTGAGTCAACCCTCTCATACCACCTTGACCTCTCCTCCACCCCATCCTCTCAACCCAAACCCCTCCTCTCCTCCTTCAGTACTATTGATCAGGTCAGACTCAATTTCCACCTCTGATACTTCAAGTGCAGGGACTATTGTAACGGTACTACCTTTCAGTTGATGTGTTGTTGTTCTGCCTCCTCTGGAAACAGATGGTGCAAAATTCAAGCTGGCTATTTGTAAAAATGTAAACTCATTGATTTATAAGCAACTTTTCATTGCCATGAAAGTGTGCAACTGCCCTTGAACAAAAATCATTGATTGATTAAATGATAATTCTAGATAGTTGTTTTTTTACGACTACCTTTGAGTGTCTTCTTTGACCAAATCCAGAACATCATTATATCAGGTAAGAATTATTGTACTAATGAGTCATGACTGATTGAATATAAACTTTTAGCTTAGTCATTGCAAAGGAACTCACAACACTTTTCCAGAGCCTTTCAGTGTGTTTACCATGTTAATTCCTTAGTCGAGGAACTTGAAGCTCTCGACCCGCTCCACTACAGCCCTTTGTTTCTGTATGTCGCTCTGAATAAGACTATAATGTAATGTCAAATTATGTGACTCATTACAGCACAATGGTCAGTAAAAGCAATTATTACAGTTGTATATTGTTATACTTCCAACATGTAATCATTTGTATTTTTTATGAAAGGACCTGCATGAGAAAGCAAGCTGACAGTCATTCACTGGAAGAAAAGGACGTGCCAGAACTTTGGCGATTACTAAGTATTTTTTTAATTGAGCAGAATTACTGTCTTACCTCAATTAGCCACAAAATCCCTAGTTTGAAAGCAACTGTTTTTCTAGAAGCTGTGATGCGCCATTTTCCCTACATTTTCCCCCACTTGGGCCAGCCCCCTAGCAATTCAAGTTCTAGCCAATGATCTTCAGCCCCTCGCCATTTGAGTGACAGCTAGCAAGATGCACACACAGCAGAGCGAGAGAGAGTAATGACATGTTTTACATTCCAAATCAAATCAAATTTTATTTGTCACATGCGCCTAATACAACTAGTGTAGACTTTACCGTCAAATGCTTGCTTACGAGCCCTTCCCAATGATGCAGAGTTTAAAAATAATAATACAAATTAAATAGTAACACAAGAGGAATAAAATACACAAGAATGGAGCTATATACAGGGAGTACCAGTACCAGATCAATGTGCAGAGGTACAAGGTATTTGAGGTAGATATGTACATGAAGGCAGGGTAAAGGATCAGGATAGATAATAATAAGAGTAACATAAAGACCAGAGTAGCAGCAGCAAATAATGAGTCCAAAAATGTGTATGTGTGTGTGTGTGTGTAATATGTATGTAAGTGTCTTTGTGTTGTGTCGGTATGCGTGTGTGTGTTGTGTGTGCGTATGTAGTGTATGTGAATGTGTGAATATACAGTGCCTTTGGAAAGTATTCAGACCCCTTGACTTTTTCCACATTTTGTTACGTTACAGCCTTATTCTAAAATTGATTAAAATGTTTTTCTTCCCTCATCAATCTACACACAATACCCCATAACGACAAAGCAAAAACAGGATTTTAGACATTTTTGCTAATTTATGAAAAATAGAAAATGGAAATATCAGATTTACATCAGTATTCAGACCCTTTACTCAGTAATTTGTTGAAGCACCTTTGGCAGCGATTACAGCTTCGAACCTTCTTTGGTATGACCCTACAAGCTTGGCACACCTGTATTTGGGGAGTTTCTCCCATTCTTCTCTGCAGAACCTCTCAAGCTCTGTCAGGTTGTATGGGGAGCGTTGCTGCACAGCTATTTTCAGGTCTCTCCAGAGATGTTCGATCGGGTTCAATTCCGGGCTCTGGCTGGGCCACTCAAGGACATTGAGACTTGTCCCGAAGCCACTCCTGCGTTGTCTTGGCTGTGTGCTTAGGGTCGTTGACCTGTTGGAACGTGAACCTTCACCCCAGTCTGAGGAGCAGGTTTTCATCAAGGATCTCTCTGTACTTTGCTCCGTTCATCTTTGCCTCGATCCTGACTAGTCTCCCAGTCCCTTCCGCTGAAAAACATCCCCACAGCATGATGCTGCCACCACCATGCTTGCGTAGGGATGGTGCCAGGTTTCCTCCAGACATGACGCTTAGCATTCAGGCCAAAGAGTTCAATCTTGGTTTCATCAGACCAGAGAATCTTGTTTCTCATGGTGCAAGAGTCCTTTAGGTGCCTTTTGGCAAACTCCAAGTGGGCTGTCATGTGCCTTTTACTGAGGAGTGGCTTCCATCTGGCCACTCTACCATAAAGGCCTGATTGGTGGAGTGCTGCAGAGATGGTTGTCCTTCTGAAAGGTTCTCCTATCTCCACAGAGGAACTCTGGAGCTCTGTCAGAGTAACCATCGGGTTCTTGGTCACCTCCCTGACCAAGGCCCTTCTCCCCCGATTGCTAAGTTTGGCTGGGCGGCCAGCTCTAGGAAGAGTCTTGGTGGTTCCAAACTCCTTCCATTTAAGAATGATGGAGGCCACTGTGTTCTTGGGGACCTTCAATGCTGCAGAAATTTGTTGGTACCCTTTCCCAGATCTGTGCCTAGACACAATCCTGTCTCGGAGCTCTACAGACAATTCCTTCGACCTCATGGCTTGGTTTTTGCTCTGACATGCACTGTCAACTGTGGGACCTTATATAGACAGGTGTGTGCCTTTCCATATCATGTCTAATCAATTGAATTTAGAAAAGTATGTGGTCATACGCACATCCTTAAAAACGTAGTACTGGGCTAATGAAGAATACTGCTTTATTGACAAAGTTTAGATCCGAAACAGATCTTCGTCAGGTCAAACAAACAAACAGAGTGCTCACATCCCAAAATATACACATTTCTTCTCACGTGATGCATGGTCGGTGCAAAAACAATGTGTACCTCTAATAATTTGATGTCAATGAGATGGACACATGTAGTAGTTACAGAAAATAATATATATTTACAAAATGACCAAGTAGGAGACCTGGAAGGCAAGACAAATCAAAGTGACATATTCATATAAGAACTGGTCTGATCTCTTGGTTCAGACCTTTAGGAGACATGGTACACAAACGGTGAATCCAATACAATTCTCTTCTCAATAATAGATTTTCAGTATCTCCCCCCTCCTAGGAGTCTTAACATGTTCGATACCAATGTATCTCAGAGAGCTAATGTTGTGACGAACCTCCATGAAATGCGCAGCCACAGGGTTTCTCTGGTCAAGGGTCCTGATATTACTCCTGTGTTCTGCTATCCTTGTTTTCAGAGCTTGTTTAGTTTCTCCTACATAGCACAGACCACAAATACACTTGATCATGTATATCACATTTAATCTTAATGGCCTTGCCCGTAATAGGGTGATTGAACATTGTGCATTTGCTCGTAAAGTTACACTGGGTACATCGGCCACATCTATAATTATCATCCAGCACATAGTCTAGGAAGGGACTACATGGCACTGGTGGAAGATGTTGGGGGCGCGTCTGAAGACTACCCGCGGGGGTTCTTTAAACTTATTTTCCAATTGTGGATCAGTGCTCAAGATGTGCCAGTGTTTTTTAATGATATGGTCGAACTGTTTGCCAAGTGGGGAGTACTGAAGGAAGCATTGAACGCATTGGTCAGGAGGGCGGGTGGTTTGGGCATGAGGCTGTCATCCTGGGTCATATTTTTATAACGATCCCTTGCGTCATGCAGCCATTCCTCTGGGTAACCCCGCTGTCTGAAACGTTCATACAGCTAATTGGCTTATTTGTCATAGTCACTGTGTACTACAAATCCTGCGTATGTGACTGTATTTGCTGATGGGGAGGCTCGTTTTTAGGGGTGTAGGGTGGAAGCTGTCTCCGCATAACAGGGAATTCCTGTCCGTCGGAATCCTGTATAGGTCCGTGATAAAGCCACACCCCTCCCTCTTTATCAAAATGTCAAGAAAACTAGTTTCATGCGCATCAGAGGTGAGGGTGAATTTCAAATGTTCAATGCTTGTATTGATGAAGTTCCTCTGCTGTGCCCTGGAATAGAAGGAATACGTCATCAATTAAGCGTTTCCAGAGCCTGATTGTTAGGGCTGAAAATCACATTGTTCTTAAACAACCCAACATACAGATTGGCATAATTCCGTGCCATTCTACTACCCATAGCAGTTCCTTTCTGTTGAATGAACATTTACATTTTAGTCATTTAGCAGACACTCTTATCCAGAGCGACTTACAGTTAGTGAGTGCATACATTTTTTGTTATTTTTGTTTTTTCATACTGGCCCCCGTGGGAAACGAAACCACAACCCTGGCGTTGCAAGCGCCATGCTCTACCAACTGAGACATGTCATTTTCAAACATGAAAAAGTTCTTAGTCAGAAAAATCTCAGCAAGTTCAACAATACAGTTAGTGGTAGGGAGTGTGCCAGTGGGTCGTTGACTAATGTCAAAGTCGCGTCAATTCAAATCTGGTATTAGGAACAAAAGAGGTCAACACGACTTCTAAGATATACTAGTTATTTTAATTAATGCAAAAACCTTCAATGGTAAATATGATGTTTCGTATATACGGGCTCTCTGAGATGCCTCGCAGGACACCCCAGAGAACTAAAAACATTGTTTCAGATGCAATACTCAAATACTCTGACAGAGGGAATTTCCCACTTCTCTGCTGGCCAATTAGAGTAGAGGACTGAGTGTGGTTTAAACTTACTCAGCCAATCCATTGATGCACCCCTGTTGCCAGCCTCTTCTGTTACCAGGCATACATTCCTCATAACAACCTGTCATAGTGAGAAGAGCCAGCTCCCTTAGACATCATTCCTATGTCCAAGGAAGGTTCACAGATCACAAAGAACCAGTATAGTCTAGCATTTGGAGACAAATCCTTATCTCCCTTTACCCCCTAAAACAGCTCTTCACATCAATCACAGCCTCCCAGGTGTCACAGCCTACATTAGCCCAGTCAAGAATGCATTCTTTCTAAGTTAGTCATCCCATCAATTTAGGAGAATAATAAATCCCCAATACTAAGATAGTGTGCCATGGCTTCTAGGCCTCCCTGGTGGGGTATATTAGTATACAGGGGTTCAACATCAAAGCAAGATATAAGCATCTCCCATTGATATTGTGCATTGTCTTGAGGGTGTTAATCATGTCCATAGAATCGTGTACATATGCAGGGGGTGACGCCACACTGGGTTTTAGAAAGAAATCTACAAAAGCAGAAATGTTTTCAGTCAATGAGCCAATGGAGGCCACAATAGGTCTCCCTGGTAGATTATCCAATCGTTTGTGGATTTTTGGTAAGGCATGGATAATGCTCCTGATTGGATTGTCTACTTTCATTAACTCATTATTTTTGCACAATGTCTCCTCTTTCCACAAGAGACTTCAGCTTGCAGTGAATCTCATCTTTGAACAGTGGTGTGGGATCACGTGACAATTTCTGATAGAAAGTGATGTTCAATTGTCCCCGGATCTCATTCACATAGTCATATAATATATATATTTTTAAATCATCCAATGCTTGTC